GCAGAGGGAGAGGGGCTGACTATGAGGGCACTTTCTTGGGAGATAAAGAAATAGACAATGTCCTATGTCTTGATGGTGGTGGTGGCTGCACAACGGCAGACATTTGTCAAAACACATCAAATCGCATGCTTACAATGGGTGGATTTTATTGTGTACCTCAATGAAGCTGATCTTTTAGAAAGCTACTTCTAAAGTGATCCATAGAAAATATTACAGATCAAATACAGAAGCAATCAGCTAATTTAAAGGGGACAAGTGATACCTTCCAGAGTAGAACTGATCTAAGAGACAGGAACAACCATCTCGAGTACTGAGGGATGCTGGGAAGAGCTTAGCGGCAAATAAAGTCATTTATACAAACAAAAGTAGTGTTGACCTTTGAACCACACAGGGGTTAGGGGCCCACTCAAAAATTCACATATCACTTTGACTCCCCCCAAAACTTAACTGCTAAGTGCCTACTGCTGACCAGAAGCCTTACCAATAACATTAAGTTGATTAATGCGTATTTTATATGTTATGTGTATTATATACTGTATTCTTACAATAAAGTAAACTAGAGAAAAGAAAATGTTAAGAAGATCATAAGCAACAGAAAATACATTTACAGTTTTTATTGGAAAAAAACCCACATAGAAGTGGACCTGTGCAGTTCAGACCCGAGTTGTTCAAGGTCAACCGTGTTCTCCCGTCAGTCAAAGCATCGCCACATGGAACAAGCTCTCTTTCTCAGTTACATTTGCTGGAGCACCATCTGGGACCCAGCCACACACTGCACTCACCCAGGGAGGCTTTCCGTGGTGTGGGCAGGAGCCCTGGGAATTGTTTTTAACGCCCCCTGCCGCCCACTGATTGCAACGTGCAGCCGGGACGGAGAGCCAGCCATCTACAGGAAAGGGCTAGAGCGTCCCTGACTTTAAGCCCCCAAGCCATTGATTTCTGGGCGCACCCTGGCATGGTGTCTTCTTCTCTCAGACCCAGCATAGGCAAAAGCAGATGCTAGTGAGACCCTGTGAGAAGGTGACGCCTCCTGCCCATGAGAAGAGATCCCCAAGCCCTGCCCCCCCTTACCTTGGGCAGTGGGTTGCCGGCTTCTCAAATGGGCAGAGTTGAGCAACTGTGGTATAGCAGTCCAGGTCCTGCACTGTGAACAGGAATACAGAGGGAAAGGGTCAGGTCCCCGGCATGCCTGGGCCTCAGGCTACCGGCCTGTGAAGTGGGCCACTGAACAGCAGGGGCCTGTGGGTTCATTGGGCCCCTGACTAGAGCTGGGGCCAGAATCCTGCAGGATACTTGTACCCTGCTTAGAGCCACTCAAGGGATGAGACATAACCTGTGACTAGGTTGAGGATGCTGTCATCCCCAGTGGTGTCTCCATGGGGCCAAGGGTGCTTTTCATTTGACTAGTGCTTTTTTATTTTGAAGCCTTTTCCCTACTTTATCCCCCGTGATCCTCATGGCAGATGGTAGCTAAGCTCACAGATGAGGGAGCTGAGCTCAAAAGAGCTAAGAGACCCCCCGAGGCATCCCAGGGCAGGTGAGCCCAGCTTTTCACTTCCCAGTCCAGAGCCCCTGCCATTGTCCCGTGCGCCACCCACCTCTAATCCCTGCAAGTTGATCCCTGCCAAGGGGGCAGGTGACTCTTTTCTTCAAGGTCACTTGTGTTTAAATGACAGATGTAAGAAAACAGTTCTAACACTGGTCAGCTGTGGTCTCTGATGGCATGTCCCATCTAGTCCAGGGCTGGGCAAACTTTTTCTTAAAGGACCAGGTAGCAAATATTTTCAGCTTTGTGAGTCCTGTGGTCTACATCAAGACTACTCAACACTGCTGTTGAAGCAGAAAGCAGCCACAGATGATGTGTAAACAAATGTGTGGCTTGTTCCAATAAAATTTTATTTATAAAAACAGGAGGTAGGCAGGATTTGGTCCACAGGCCATTGCCAACCCATGGTCCAGTCTACCAGTTGGACAGGCCATGGAGATACACAACTATCCAACAAAGGGCCTGGTTTAGTACATCAAGGGACTTCAATGGGATGCTGGGGAGACCATTAAAATTAGGTTTAGAAGAACATTGAAAGGCACAGAAATATATTCCTGACACATAATTGCTTTTTAAAAAAATCAGGTTACCAAATTGTGTGTAATTCCATTTCAAATTTTTTAAATTTATTGATGTATATATTCCCAATATCTATACTTTTAATACATAGGGAAAATAAACTGGAATATCTACCAAAATGTTCACAGTGGTTATCTATCTGGTAGAATTTAGTTCATTTTTTAAAAAATGTTTCTCTGTATTTTTAAATTATCTGGAATAAACAGGCATTATTTTTGTAATAAGAAAAAAAGTTACCACACATTTTTATAAAGACATCGAACCAGATGTTCTTGAATCCCAGGCAAATGACAAGAGCTGCTTTCCCAAAGGAAAGGAGTGGTCAGCAGGTGAATTTCCAGAACAGCATGCAGGAACGGTGCCTAGTTTACTCCAGCCAACGGCCCCCTTGGACACTACAACCCACCCCTCCACTTCTGGTTCAAGCATGCTCTCCCAGCGATACACCCCACCTGCCAAATGAACACATCCGAAGCAATTTAAAAAGCTGGGCCGGAGATGGCAAACATGCACCACACACTTGCCTGAGTCTCCTGGTCTTGTCCACAGCAGAGACCACTAATCTATCAAGCTCTGTTTACCTGAGCCCAGATTGAGACCTCAGAATCCTTCTCAACACAATGTTCCTGGTAGCCACTACCTATCAGAAACTGGCACTCCCAGTGAAACTTCTTAGCCACACTAGCTCCAGGCATCGGTATTTTTTGACATTCAGCTGGCAACCCCAGGCCTATGTTTCTGGTTCAGCAACCTACGGCCAATTTCAGGTCCAGATATATTTAGAAACTAGTTAAAGAAATGACCTTCCCAGGAACTTCTTGGAAGAGCCTTTATAATGCTGAGATCAGTGATGTTAGCAGATATGATAAACATTAAGTAATGACTAAAGGAAGTGGAATTTCCAGGGAAATACAAGATAATCTTGTCCTATGTGCACAAGAGACTGGACAGCTTACCTTTCACTTTTGACACCATGAATGAGCTGGAAGATTTGTATTTGCTGTAAAAGAAAACATTAGGTGAATGTAAACAGAAATGCTTCTAAAAGTGCACACTTGCTCCTGTACTTACCTTATTTACAGCCTCAGGTTCCATTTTCCTACCTGTTTCCCATCAGCCTGAAAGTTTAGAATATTCTAGAGCAAGGCTACTTAACCTTCTTCCTACCAAGGACTCCCCTGGCAGCCTGGTGAAGCCTATGGACCTCTTTGCAGAATAATGATTTTAAAATGGGTAAGATAAATTTTAAAAATTACCAAGAAAATCAGTTATTATTAGTATCATTATCAAAGCATTAAAATGGATTTGCACTAGAGCTAGAGCAATGCTTCGTGATTAGTGCACTGAATAGAGCCTAGAGACGGGTCTTCTAACTACCGTCATTTCAGGGTAATGACAGCAGGGACGTTGTTTCAAGATGTCTGCAGCAACTGGGTTCTACCCGTGAGAAAGTCACCGGCCCTGCTAATGCTAACCTGGTTTGTGGCCAGCATTCATAATGGAAGGAAGGGCCTGCATCTCACTTAGAGGTAGTGAGCATAAAGCTGAATTTGCTTTGCGCTGATGTTTGCAGACCCCCTGAATTCTAAAGCGTGAAGACCCCCCACTCTACATGCAAAATTGGCCATTGGAAGGGACACAGTGCCTCCGGGGCAGGAGTCCCAGTCGATGCAGGATTTGAACCCTTTGCAGAGCTCCCAGCCGTGTGGCCGCCTGTGCTGAGCCTCATTTTGGCTGGTCAGGATTGGAGACTACCCAACAAATTTCTCTGCGAATCTTTTCTTGGCTTCTATGAAGACTTTCTTGCTCTTTGTTTTGTTTACCTAACCCCCCATCTCAGGTTCCCAGCTCAGACAGAAGATAGACTGTTGCACCATCACCTGAAGAACATGACCTTTCAGAGGGGGTTACTCATCTAGGTTTTGAATCTCAGGAACGTTTGTTCAGAGCTCCTCTCATTGCAGACCCTTGGTGGGCATGTGACATGGGGGGCCCCGGATCTCCCCTGTGGGTCCACATCCCCAGGGGAAGCTCCATCAGCACAAGGCTCAAGCCCCAGAGATGGGCTATGGCCCAGGGCTGCAGTGAGGGCAGCAGGGTTCCCAGAACCCCCTGCTGTGCCAGGCACTAGGTCCTGGAGGGGGAGTGGGACTCCTGGGCATGGCAGAAGGAGATTCAAGGGCTCAGGGCAATAGCCCTTTCCTAACCACTGTGGGAATGTTTCCATTTTTTATCAATCAGCTCACTGCCCGGGTGTGCACCAGTTGGGTGTCAGCTCTGAGTGCTACTGTGACCCTCATCGCATGTGAGGGCACTGCCACCCAGAAACGGTGAAGAACCCAGCCCAAAGTCAGGCAGCAGGGAAGAGTGGAGCCAGGTCTGTTTGGTCCCAAAGTCCCCAGCGAGTTCCAGGGCTCCTGGTTCCACAGACAGAGCAGACAGGAACACCCAAGACCCAGACTCTGCTGCCCTCCCCGCCTCCCTACCACCACCCAGGAAGTCAGAGTGATGAGGACAACCTGCCCCCCCATCAACCACCCGTTCTCTAGGAAGTAGGAAAAAGTGCTGATCAAGAATTAGTCTACACAGTCAAGGGCACCACCGGCCACCAACCATGACGTGTCTGAAGTGTTCTCTGTGTCAAGGAAGGTAGAAAAAGTAGGATTCAAAACTCAACCAAGGTAAACACACACCGAGGAAAAACCCACTGGAATGAAACAGGCTAAGTCGCCTAGAGGGGTTATTTCTGAGTTATGGGACTAAGGTGGTCTTTATTTCTATCTGTCTCTTTATATTGTTCAACACTTTTCAAAGTTTGAACAATACTTTAATAACCAGGAAGAAAATGTTTTAAGGAACCCTGGTCACAGAATAGTTACCTCAAAGACTCCACGCCGTGTCTCTCAGACTTGACAAAGAAGGGGACCTTCCCATTCCTGGTGACATCCACCAGGCCTCCTTTGTCATCGAGGACCCCGTAGTGGATGGCAGCCCGGCATATGCTGGATGACTGGCAGGAAGGGGAGGGGTAAGACAATAAACATATTCTTAATTAATCTTTGTCAGTGATCTTCTCCAGAAATACCCAAGATACTTGTCCTCAATCCACTAAAAGCCAAAAAGACGGGCCAAAGCTCATGCACTCCCGGCTCTTACCTTTCTCCATAACCACGTCTTTGTTCCTGGCCTTGCTTATCTTTAAGAACCCATCTGAGTTGCTTTACACACTAAGAACAGTGACAAGCAGCCCTTTCTCCCCATGCAGTCGAGCATATTAATTCTCGGTCTACAATGGAGCCTGGCCTTCATGAGAATCTGTCCTGCTTCCCGAAAGTGGCCTCGTGAGTGTGTGAGCCCATAAATACATGCACAATCATCCTAGAAATGTCAGGTTTGACTAACGAGTGGAAGGAAAATCTTTTCCTACTAAAACCACCAACTGTCTTAAAAAATACACGGTAGGATTCCACATCAAGCCATTTGAAGAAATACTCACGCTTTCATAAAACAGAGTTCCAAAAATCTTCGCTTTGTTTTTCAGGCAGCCTGCCGGGCACTGATACCTGACGGAGAGGAAATAAAACGATGTTCAGAGATAAACAGGTGGATCAGATTGTGCAATGATTTTATCATTTTTTTCTTCAATAGCTCTATTATTAAATATAGAAAAGCTTCATTAATGTAGATTCTATTGTTTTCAAATAAGGCACAATTTCCCCAGGCCCAGACTGAAGTTCATGTTCACACAAACATGATAGTCTTAAAGACTATTTTCACGGGCTTAAGACTGGCGTCGAAGGCACATGAATAAACAATTCACAGAAGAAAGACAGGTGGTTTCAGATGCAAAAATCCTTCAAACCCCAGTCATCAAAGAAGGGCAAGTTGAAAGGAGATGCCATTTTCTATCAAACTGCAAGGATTTTTTCACAGGGTAAACTCAATGATACTGTTTCTGTTCATGAAAGAGCATAAACTACTCTAACCTTTGAGAAAACCTTAAAAATTCCTATCTATTGACTCTTAAACTTCCCTTATAAGTATATATCCCAAGTAAAAAGTCAGAAAAGCAGACTACATGTGTAGTCCAACTGTTTGTAATTGTGAAAACCTGGAAATAAGCCAGCAGGTGTCAAAGGAGTGGCCAAAGGTATTTTTGTGTAGCCATTTGTGGGTACTTCAAAAAGTTCATATATGTTTTAATTCCATTTTTCCATGAAAATATTTGTATTATCTTTTAATTCTATTTTCCACAAACTTTCTGAAGTACCTGCATATGTCAGAGTATTATGCAGCCACTAAAAATGAAGTGTTTGAGGAATATTTATTGACTTGGGAAAATATTAATTGAAGATGCATTAGCAGTATTAGCCTCATCTATGTGCAGAAAAAAAGACTGGAAGGAAATACCTCAAATTGCTACTGGTATCGATAAGATTCTGAGACATTTTTTTCTTTATACTTTTTTGTGTTTCTTTTCTGAATTATGTACAATGAACAAGAATACCTTTTAAGGTCGGGAAAAAAGCCCAGTGAATATCATTTATGTAAAATCACTGTGTACAGAAAACTGGACGGCCAGATCATGAGACTGTGGACGTTCTCATGTTGCAGGTTGGGGCTGAACTACATTTCTTGACTGAAGACAGACCCCCGCCTCTTCTCTGCTGTGGAGTGCCCCAGCCACCCCCAGCTCTGGAGCTGTTTCCATGCTGTCTGAGAAGCAGTGTCCTCCAGTCCTTGTGCATCTCTTTTCAATGAGTACTCAGATGAGGACCTCTCATGATGAGCTTGGAGTGTAGAAGGGCGTGTCATCACAAGAGGACAACTCAAACTCCAAAAATCCCAGACCCGTGAGTTTGCAGAGTGGATTCTACTTCCAGGTGCTGCCTGCTGCCTTCCCAATTCGCCAAGCACAGAGACATGCAAATGTCCTGCCAACACTGGGCACAAGGACAGACAAGCTTTAGGAACAGCTTTGCCACCACCGATCATCACCACATCTGGCTCCTCTCACCAACAATTTAATCAGTTTTAAGTCTGCAGTACTTGCTGACCTTCTGCCAGCGGTTCACGGGACCACGCAGGAGCCCACTGAATGACTTATCCTGGGTAGCTTGAAGTCCATTTCATAACACCCCTGGCAAACCAAACTCCAAAGCCCCACAGTGTAAAATAGGAGCTGACGTCCCCTCTTGTTAACATGTGCTTTAAATAACATGATTCAACTTTAGACAAACTCATGCCAGAATTCACAGGATGGCGAGTAAGGTCCCTCTGCCGATGACATGGTTTTCCCATCATGAACCTGAGGATCTGCGTGCGGTGGCTGCACCTGTCGGCTGTTTCCTGCCAGAAAGAACAGCCCGGCAGCTGCACTGCCAAAACCAAACTCCTTTTTGGCAGACCTTCAACATCGAGTGGACGATATTAAATAACTCCATTTGCAGGATGAATTCACTCACCTACTGGGGGATACGTTGACAGCTCATTTATCCGGTGGGCCCCATCAGGCAACAACCCCAGTCAGGTCTCCAATCATCCTGTACGATCTGCTCCCGGCCCAGGTGCCACTGGCCAACATGTGCCCTCACACTTGCCCAGCGTAAGCCTCCCCTCCGCAGCTGCAGCGCAGAACTCTGGAACCCCCTTCCACACAGAGAGGTGGAACAGAGCCCTCAACACAGGCAAAAACCTTGGCCAGGATCTTCACGTTTATAACATGTTTATAACACATCTGCTCCTTGCACATCTGGTGTTTCTATAGCTTGCAAATTCCATTTTAACCAATAATCCAGAGCATCTGTAATTCAGGCACCTGCTGGAAAGCTCAGCCTTGACTAGGTAAATAGATAACTAACAGTAAGGAGGAGAGACACTTTTGTAGAGAGAGCACCTTGGGGACACAGTAGTCATGGATTCCTTTAGGTTCTGTAAAATTCATCTCATTGGAAAGGCCACAGCTTCTCTCAGATGTTGTCTAAAGTACATTCCCAGCTAGGGTGACCGAGCACCCTAGTTGGCCTGGGACTGAGGGGTTTCCTGAAACTTTCAGAGCTAAGACTGGGGAAAGTCCCGGGAAACTGAAATCAATTGGTTACCTATTCCCAGCGTTTGGGGGTTTCACAGGGATGCCATGAAGATTAAGTGAACCTACACAGGTGAAGGGGTTTTTTACGATGGTTGTTATTATTGCCATAAAGATCATTATTGTTTTTATCGAGTCCAAATCTACCCCCACCCCTTCCACTTCTAGCTCTGCCGGACCCCTACCCCCAAACCTGTGATTTAGCTCCTTGTAGCTAAAGTTCAAGCAAATGTCTCCATGGCCACAGCCATCTTATGTCAGGTGTAGCTTGGTGAATTCTCCCAGTCCTCTGGTCTGTTGTTTCTCAAGGAAAGATTGGCAAATTCTTGGGCTCACCCAACCTCCTTGGATCAGGGTGAGGCCCCAGAATCTATACGTTTAAGAGGCTCCGCAGGAGATTCTGTTAGACTCTCAGATTTGAGAACATACACTCTAGCCAATTGGAATTAGCTGGAGGGGCTTTACAAACACCCATAAAAAAAACCTCAAACCACACACAATGCCTGTGCCCATCTCAGACTAACTAAGTCAGCATCTCTGGGCAGAGAACACTGGAATGAGTAGTTTTTAAAAGTTCCCCCGTGTGCTTCCAATGCATGATCAGCAGTGTGCTGGAGCCTGAGTTCTGGCTGGTGAGGGCAGCTTGTAAATATTCAGTAAAACTGAAAGCTGGTGCTAAACCCTGGGTAGCTGGAAGGCAGCTATGATGGCAGCATTTACACCATGGAAATTGGCAAAGGCTACAATCCACTGTCATTTGTTTTGAGAGCTGGTTTACCGGCACAGCACTGATGGCGTGGAGAACCACTGGGTTAAAATAATGAGGCTTTGGGCTCACCTCTCCAGTGGAATGGCCTGCAAGATATGACCCCCTCCCCACCAGGTACAAAACACTTAACCGGAACGCATATCCAGGCGGGGAGGAGCCCCAGAGTGTGGGTCAACCCTATAGATCAGTGGTTCTCAAGTGGGGGTGATTTTACCTCTCAGGGGACATTTGTCAATGTTGGGAGACATTTTTCGTTGTCATGACTGGGGGCCTTGCTACTGGCCTCTAGCGGGTAGAGGCCAGGATGCTGCTAAACATCCCACAGTGTACAGGACAGCCCCCGCCACAAAGAACTATCTGGCTCAACATGTTAGTAGTTAGTAGTAGTGCCCAGGTTGGCAAACCCCGGTCTAGGTTGACAGAAATGGACCACCTTTGTGTGCCAAGCTCTTACTAAGTGGCAGTAGTGAGAAGGAACTCTGGTCAGTCTGATTTATGACACGGAGCAAGCTGAGCTGGCTTCTGGCTCAACCGGGCACCTCTTTTGTGCTAAAAGTAGTGAATGTCATTTTCCCCGTAAGTTTCTACCCAGCTTGGTTTGGGTGGCAAGTGACTAACTGATCCTGATGTGACCTGTTGCCCATGGCAGATGCTTCAGGGACTGGGAGCAGCGGCAGCGCAGACCACCCAGACCTCACCTGTTGCACGTGGACCCTTTGCACTTGTCCTTCATCTTGGTGTCACACCTGACGACTTGGGCTAGGAGAGAAATGTGGAAATACATGTCACAGCCCGAAACCAGGAGGGTGCATTTGGGTTAGTAGACCCCTCCCACTCCAAGGGGCATCCTAGAACACTCTGGAATCCACAACAGGAGCAAGAGCAATGCCTAACGCTGCAGGCTTCTGCTGGGAGGCTCGAATCCCAGACCCACCGTCTACGGCAGCAGCGTGACCTCGAGCAAGTCGCTTCCCCTCTCCAAGGCTCAATGTCCACATACGGATAATGGGGGTGGCTGTAGCTCCCACCTCCCAGGGTTTTCGAGAGCATCAAGTGAGACAGTAAATACAGCCACGAAAGGGTACTTGGTCCACGGAGGGCTGTGGAAAGCGGGACCCACAGGAAGTGAAGAGGGCCAGCTGTTGTCACCTGAGTCGCCTCCCCCGTGGCCAACATGACTCTTGCCGAGCCTTCCTGTTTGGTTGATTTTATAGGGACATGTCAGAGTCTTGGAGCAGTGTTACAGTTTGAAAAAAGACATGTATTATCGTTTTTCACTTAAAAACACAATGGCACCATTTTGAACTTCCGGACAGACAAGGGCATCCACATATTTCCTGGTCAAAGAAAACTACGGAATGATCCAATGTCAGGAGAAAGATGTTGCAGGTCCAAGAGGACGGAAAGACTGGTGGGGGGCAGGGGAGAAGGTCATCGGAGAAACAGGAGAAGGTTTCTGAGAAAGAGGAGCAGGTAGGCCTCTCAAGGATGAATACAGTTTTATTCACTGGATGCATAGCAGGAAAACAGAGAGAGAACCAGAGGCATTCAGCCCAGGCCTACTGACAAGTCTGTAAGAAAATGCACCTCCATAGCCCCCAATCTTTGTACAAAGGGCTCCAGGAGCAGTGTCCCGGGAAGTGGGAAAGGGAGCTGAATTCTGGACCCTGGGTAGGTGAAGGCAGACAGAGGAAAAGCTTTAGGAGAGATCCCTACAGCAAGGGGTGAGCACAGGAATGTGGGGTTCTTGGGAGGTCACTGAACTTCCCATCTGACAGGGGATATTGGAGGCAACTTCAGGATGTTCTCAGGGTATAGGAGGATTTTAGCTGATGCTGGGTGACCCATTACTGTAAATAACCCTCACAGCAACCCTGATGTAGGCATTATTATCTCACTTTACAGATGAGCAAACCGAGTCTCAAAGAGTGTTGTCACGGGCCAGGGCACAGCCGGTACCTGGTACGGAGTAAGTGGCACCTCCCCGAGCCAGCCTCGAGGCTGCGTCCTCCCTTAGGGAGGCCAGTGCTTCCCAGAGGAACCCCATTTCAGCCCAGGTCTCCTTTGAAAGGACGAGGGAAGATCTAACCTCAAAATACCTGCCTGGGAAAAAATGCCATCCAAGCAAAACTGCTATAATGCTTGCCTGTGAAATGACTTAAAAATATCATTTTTTAAAAACATCTCAGGGTTGCACTTCTGCAAGCAATGCCCCGCCCTGTTCCTGCTGCCACCCGCACCCGTCCTCCAGCCCCCAGAAAACCGGCCTCCCTTTCAGAGCTGGCGCCAAGGGCAGGGAGGACAGACTTGACTCACTCATGTAGGTGACGGTGGAGGTTTTCGTCTTCTTGGGCTTCGTAGGTCTGCTGCCCCTCGGCTGGGCCCAGACATGTTTGTCCTCGGCGACAGGAGCCGTTTCCACCTCGTTCATCTCATCTGTTTCAGGCTTTTGGTCATGGGTCTGTTCTTCATAGCGACATGGGAGAAAAAAATAACAGGCTGGGATTCAACAAAAACGTACTTTGGGGGAAAAAGCAATTTGAAAACTAAACTTGTCTGAGGTTTGATTTTGCAAAGAATCGTTTCAGCAGCAAAGAGAAAGTTGGGTTTCTGAAGAGACCTGGCCAGGTGGACTCCTCCCAGCCAGGCTGAGTGGGCAGCTTCTGTGCTTGGTTTGCCCTGGACCAACCTGAGGGCAGCTGGGTCATATCAGCAGAGATCAGGGGTCCTAGCCTGGGTTGTCATAATGGGTTCTTGTCTACCTCCTCCTACACACAAATATGTGCCCAAAGCTGTGGCTGTGCCCCCTGAGGCCCCTCTGCCCCTAGGTTTTCATGGGGGTGGGGTCTTCCTCGTGGTGCCACCACTGTGGTGCACAAGACCAGTGTCCCTGCTCTTGGAACCCAGCTCTCCTCCCCACCAGCACATCTTGCTCCCTTCTCCACCCCTGTGAGTCAGAACCACTTAACCAGCTGAGTTCACGTCTCTGCACTAGAGTTTTGTTGTCCAGTAACATTGAACCCATGATGCAGAACCACCTGAAGATCCAAGTACTGGTTAAAAAAATGTGTAGTTTGCTGAGTCCCAATCTTTTCCCCATTCTAGGACATCGTATATTATTATTTCTGCAATCAAGACCATGACCCCCATGCTTTAAAAGACTTTAACTAAACAAATTGCACTTATTAAATGTCAGTTCAATTATCTTCCAGTTTTCATCATGAAAGGCAATTATAAATTGCCCACCAGGATCTGTAACCAGACCACCAGGATACCAAACTATAAATCCAGCCAAAGCAAAGAAACTGATGGCTATTTTCATCTGCCTGAGTGGCCTTATCAAAGATGAGTTGGTGGGCATCTCTGCTAGGGGATCCCTTTCCACCGTCATTGACAGCGTGCACCTCCCGAGGCCCACAGAGGCCTGCGGCCCAGAGCTGGAAAGCCCCGCCTCCCAAGCCCCTCACATGAACAAGGCAACACAGGTGTTTGGAAAAGATCGATTTCAAGGAGGGGAAATACACACCCTCGCAGGCCTCTTAGTGTTTTGGTATTAAAACTCAAGTTTTGTCAAGTGTTCATCAATCCCTAAATTTTATTTCCACTTTTTTTTTTTCCTTTTTGTCTTTTTTCATGTCCGGCAACGGACCGCAACCCTCAGTGTCACGCCCGTACCGGACCGGGACCGGCAACGGGATCGCAACCCTTGGCGTCGCGCCCGCAACTCGCTCAGCCAGTGAGCGGGAACCGGTCTGTTTGTGGGATCCGAACCCTCGGCGGGAGCGCCACCGTGCTCCCAAGCGGCGCACTGTAGCAGTGCGCCACCGGGCCGGCCCTCCACTTCTTTTTAAAAGGAATGAGCTCTCTTTGCTAAAGGGCAGGCCAGAGTTTTGTGTCTCCATAGCACCAAACGCCCACATGAGGGCCAAATGAGCAATTCTCCGGTGCTTTTCCAGGCCAGGTGCTCTGCAGCTGTTTAACCAGCCAGCTCACCACGCCACGACCACCACCCCATGACCACCACCCCAGGCTAGCCCTGTCCCAGGGGGAGGATGGATGGGTTTAAGCCAGAAGGTGAAAAGTGATCCTGACCCAATTCTACCCTTTGTGGCACTCACAGGCCACAGGCCCTGCTCTGGGGCAGCACGCTTACAGCTCTAATTTCACCACGGCCTGCCCCATCCGCCAGCTGTCAGCGCCCAGAGACCAGGAGCCTGCCTGCTTCTCACATCCCTGTACACCAAGGACTGGCACACAGTAGTTGCTCAGCAAAATTCAATGCATGAATGAATAATTGAACTCCCCAGAGAATTCTGTCACCTAAAGGAAAAAAATATGCCTGGTGACAAAGTTTAAAGACATTTAAGAAGGGAGCTTTGAAAACACCATCTGTAGCAAGAGCTATAGGCGGAAACTTCATGAAGACATGGTTTCACCAACTTGCAAAGGCCTGCTGGCACCCGAAGCCTGTCTCTTGTCTGCTCTTCCCATCAATGTGTCTATTCAGGTTTGCCCTTTACTGAAAGCTGGAGCTGTCTCTGGAATAAGCTAGGTTTTCTTCCACTGGCCTTTAGGATTTTTATACCTCATAATCGCAGCTTTATTTAGCTGAATATAGTTTGGTAAAGCAGGCTAAAGCATTTGAGGGCTCACTATTTAAGAAAATGGGCAGACAGTTCTTGCCCTCAGACACACACATGAAAAGTGGAGTGCTTAACCAGAGGACAGGCTGGGGCTGAGCACATCCTAATTAAGTTCCCCGTGCAGACCAGCACAGGCCTAGGGAAATTCCATGCCAAGGTCACTGCAAGGTTACTCCATGCACTGTAAGCTCCGGACCAGGGGTCTCGAGGCCCAAGCACCATTTACATCGCTTAGCACTTTCCCACCTGGTTCTAAAAGTGGTGTCAAAGCTTAGAGTTAACGTTTACTGAACACGGGCCAAATGATCCCACGCCAGCTTAGCCCTCCCTGGTGTTTTGTTGCCTGAGGAGACATGATTGGCCCCCTTTCACAGATGAGGAAACTGAGGCTCGCAGAGGCTAAGCAATCTGCCCAAGCTCACACAGCTGGGAAGTGGCCGTGCTGGAAGTCAAGCCACCTTTCCCCAAAGCCCATGCCTTTTATCACCACACGGGGAGGGGCCGGAGAGAAAAAAACCTCTTCTTTTCTACCCTTATCCCTGTTCCATCTCCATTATAGGTCACGGCCTAACCAGGCACCTCAATACACACTTATTAAGTAGCTTATGCAGATAAGCTGCTTTAGATGAGACTTTCTGCATGGTGAGCTGAGAAAATTGGCACACCTGCCACCTGAAGTTGGGTGTTTTCCACCAAAAATAAAGAAATAAGTATACGTGGGTCTTTGAAAGGTGGGTAAACTGGCATCTAAGTTCTCTGTGTGCATTTGTTCTGTGAGAATGATACTCTGTAGATATTGGGGGTATGTTTATTCTGACAACATGTGGGACACTCCTGCTACGTGCTCTTGGAGGCCCTGGAGTGAACCGGCAGTTGTAACCACAGGTGATCAAGGTTCGTGAGGGGTTTGGGGGTAATGAGCATGGAGGCAGGTGCACTGAAGTCCAGGAAGGTTCCCCCAAGAGTGATACCAGAGCTATGGCACATAACGCATGACCCAGGGGACTAGGCACCGATTGGTTTGTCAGAGCAGAGTTCGCAGACAGATCCATCACCCTCCTTCAGTGTCCTGCTTCTTCTGTCCCCTTCCCCCTTGGGATGTCTCCCCCACCCCCCAGTGGTCAGAGTCAGCCGTGAACAGCTGGCTGGGACGATGGGGCACCTGGTCTGCAGAGGGTCTGGGACTCCCCTTTTAGTCCACCTGTCCTTCACCCTAGAGCCCACAGGACTGACCCCACGTCTGCCCCGCAGGTAAGGTCCAGCACAGCGGGTCACTCCCTCCTGCCCACCCTCCCCATTTGAGCGGAGTCCCACCAAGTCTCGGCAAAGCCTGTCGGTCGTTACAAGGCCATTGGTGGAGCCACAAGTAAAACAAATCTCAAGTGCATGAAGCATGGTCAGCCCCTTGCCCAGTTACGGCCCTTCTGGGACATCACTTTGGAGAGCCAAGAGAGATACTCCAAAATGTGAGAAATGCTTTAGGCATGAAAATTGCACATTATTTATAGCAGCAGAAAACGTGGAGACATCCTGAATGGCCAACGGCAAAACACCTGGTGGACAGGTGGACAGTGACGCACCCTGTGAAGCTCCAGGTCTGACTGGACTGTGGGGGGATGGGACGTTTATGCCACGGTCAGGGGAAGGGTGGCCAGAGGGGGGAGAGGATGGGAGGGACGGGCTGAGCCCCCTGCCGGGCCCTCCTGGACACTGGTGCCCTTGTGTGGGACCCTCATGTTCTTGCTGTCTGCTGTTAATTTCTGGTTTGATTGCCTGCTTTACTCCACTGTAAAGCTGTGAGCACAAACCAAGGTGAGCTGTGCATCTGTGCTGGATGCTGCGTCCAGACCCCAGTGCAGTGTCTGCCACAGGAGACCGCCATTGTGGGGGGCGGACCTCCCAGGGGACAGCAGGGGGTCTCCTGGCATCTGGAGGTAAATCCCTGCTCATGGCAAGGGAGCGTGGGAGCTGCTCAGGGTGTCTGCAGTGGGGCAATGGGCATCTCTGACTCCACTTTTTAATTTTCCCATTTTTTTTTTCCTTTTTGTCTTTTTTCGTGTCTGGCAACGGATCGCAACCCTCAGTGTCGCGCCCGTACCGGACTGGGACCGGCAACGGGATCGCAACCCTCGGTGCTGCGCCCGCCCCTCGCTCAGCCAGTGAGCGGGAACCGGTCTGTATGTGGGATCCGAACCCTCGGCGGGAGCGCCGCCGCGCTTCCCAAGCGGCGCACTGTAGCAGTGCACCACTGGGCCAGCCCTTAATTTTCCCATTTTATGTAACACCGTTGTGTGACTCAGATGGAGGGAAAAACCCATCCCACGTGGCGTGGAGGTCCCTTCCTACCTCGGTAACACAAGTTGTTCCTGCAGCCGCCTCCGTAGCTGGGCGGGCACGCGGAGCAGGGCCGGCCGTTTCTGTAGGGGGCTTCTCCAATCCAGTTCCCCCTGAAGACAGACCAAAAACACCTGTCAGGAGGGAACACCGCTCCAGACCCTGGGGACCGATCCTCTTCCCAGGTCCACTCTGGGGCCCGAACAGAGTCACTGGTGGGTCAGAGAGGGAGGAAGCTGTGCGCCCTGTGAAATTTAGGCAGCCATCCTGGGCCCTTCTGTGCACAGGCTAGAGAATTCTAGAATCCCAGAGATGCTACGGAAGGGAACTACAAGACACCTTTCCATCGCACCTCTGTCCTGTCTCGTCAGTGTGTGTGCTGTTGGCCCCCAGCACCCCCCGTAGCCCCACTTCTACCGAAGTCGTTCCCCTGGGCCTTGCTGGAGTCCAGCACCTTTGCACTAAAAGCTGCCAGGATGCCACTTTTAAGCCATTTCTCAAATGAGTTAAAGTTTGCATGTTCCAGAGAAAGCGTGAATTTACCAAGTTCCTACCACATACCAAGCCCTGGTCTATGGGCTTCTCTGTGCTCCTCACCCCCTCCTCCCTACAGCCCAGGAGGGAAGAGCTCAAATTCATTCTTTTGCAGAGAAGGAAACTAAGACACAGAGAGGTTAAGTAACTTGTCTAAGGTCACACAGCAAGCAAGTGGTGGGGCTGGGACTTGAACCCCAGCTGTCAGGCTCAGAGCCATTGGCACACTCTGCTCCAGGGGCTGGGACAAAGGTCTCTCTGTGTGTCACGGATGCCATCCACCTCCTAGAGTTCCCAGGGCAGGAAAACTGGAGGCTGCTCCATCAGATTTCTCCAGGGGGCTGGGTAGCAGGTGGTGAGTGGAATTCCTAAGCCCTTCAGCAGCACAAGCTGGGGCCATGAGTGACCAGGGACCAGTCTTTGTGATTTGTTCTAGAAACTTCCCTCTGGCTGCCCAGTCATCCTGGCCTCCTTCAGGGGAGCAGTGAAGGGCAGTCTCAGCCGACTTCCTCTAGCCCCAAGCCTCTGCCCCCTTCTCTGTAGAACAGGCTGGTAACAGTAGGGTTGTTGTGAGCATTACATGGGTGACTGTGGCCAGCCTGAGTGCCTGGCTCAGGGTAGAGGCTGCACTCTGAGTTTGTTAAATCAACAAGCTCATGCTGGGAACGTTCTCTGACCACTTTCCAGGCAGGGAGGAACGGGGCCCTGCTAGTGCTGGCCCGAAGACAAGCTGCAGAGAACACAGTCTCTGTTTAACACATACCCTTAGGTGGGCCTAGAACCTTCTGCAGCTCCAAATAGCGGGATGGCACTGACCAGGGTGTGTGGGCATCAGACCTAGGGAGGGTGGGTGGGGGATGGGCAGGGTTGGGGGAGGAGCTCCCGCAGCCCTTACAGTGCGCACACCGCTCCTTCCACCCTCCCACGCTGCAGATGGCAGAGTGACAGTGTCCTGTACCATGCCACAAACCGCACTCATCTGACACCCTTGCTCAGATATCCAGGCTGGCTTGGGACTCACAGGGGCCTTTGGGATGGTTCCCTCAAATGGAATGTCACAAAGCTGACTGAGAGTGCTTCAGAGCCCATCCTAGGCGAGGGCGAGTAGGTTTCCTCAGAGTATTTGGGAACCCACATGGATACATCCTGCTCCCCCCAGCCAAATCTCCTCCATATCTAGGGTTCCAGATTTCCTCAAAGACAAACCACACCTCCAATGCTCCTGGAGCAATAATGATTCTGAGTTAGCATTTAATGAGACAGACGAGCTCCTTAATCTTGGAATAGCCCCAAAAGTGTGTCACTGTCCTCCCCTCATACACATCATTAGCATCAAGGTACGAGCTCATCCCCATCCCCACCCCAGCCAAGAATTGCCCCCAAGGGATCTGAACCCTGCACCACACCCAAGCCTACCCTCTCTGCCACTGTGCCACTGTCCCCACCCTGGTGCCTGGGACAGAGTCTGCACAGTCCAGGGGCTCAAAGTCTCTCTTTAAGAAAGAACATGGAATATCACGCAGCAGTCAGAAAGAAAGAACCACTGAACACTCAACACCTTGGATGAATCTCTCAGATACGATGTAGAGCTGGGCACAGGATGACATGTATGACCCCACTCATGTGAGGCTCCCAACCAGACACAACTGACTGATGGGGACAAAGGTCGGAATGGTGGTCACTTTGGGGGGCATAATGGGGCACTGGAAATATTCCCTATCTTAATCTGGATGGTAGTTCCACCTATTGCTATGGACCAAATATATGTGTCCCCCCAAATTCATATGTTGAAGCCCTAACCCTCAATGTCACTCTATTTGGAGATGGGGCCTCTGTGGAAGTAATTAATGTTAAAAGAGGTCACAAGAGTAGGGTTCTGATCCAACAGGATTAGTGTCCTTATCAGAAGAGACACCAGAGAGCTTGCTCTCTCGCTGCCATGTGAGGACACAGTGAGAAGGCGTCTGCCTGCAAGACAGGAAGAGAGCCCTCACCAGAACGCGACCGTGCTGGCGCCTTCATCTGGGACTTCCAGCTTCCAGGACTGTGTGAAATCTGAGGGTACTTCAAAAAGTGCATGGGAAGATTTGTATTAATTTTCAATTAATTTTTCCACCCAGTCTGTGGTATTTTGTTACAGCAGCCAGAGCAGACTAACACATGGAGTGTGTGTTGAGCTGTACTTTTAAGATTAGCATATTTTGGGCCGGCCCGGTGGCGCACTGGATAAGTGTGCCGCTTGGGAAGCGCGGCGGCGCTCCCGCCCGAGGGTTCGGATCCCACATACAGACCGGTTCCCGCTCACTGGCTGAGCGAGGCGCGGGAGCAACACCGAGGGTTGTGATCCCGTTGCCGGTCCCCGGTCCGGTACGGGGGCAACACTGAGGGTTGTGATCCGTTGCCGGATACGGAAAAAGACAAAAAAGACAAAAAAAAAAAAAAAAAAGATTAGCATATTTTACTATATGTAGGTTTTTCTTTTTTCAAGGGGGGATGGCTAAAAAAGAGAAGGATTTTATTTCTGATTGAAACTTCTTATGTATTTTTTTATATAAAGAGTCAAATCAAATTATTCCTTGCTCCCCACCTGCTGCTCTACCAGGAATTTCACCATCTTGGACCAGTTCACTGCTCTTCATGGTACGTGCGTACCTCCCCAGTGGTGACACAACACCCCTGCTCTTAGACACGTGGGCTGCTGAGACAGTGAGTGCCACCCCAGGCGTGCCAGACTGTTTTTGGAGTGCTTCTATTTCCCTTGCAAACCTCAGTGATTCCCTTTCATCTCACCTTCTTGAAGCCACTCCTGATCCAGACCAAATAAATGAGGTCATTCCCATTTCACTGTCACTAAGCAAGTATGCCTCGGGGGCCCACTGTGTGCAGGGACGGTGCAGGATGGCTGCCAGCTGAGTGACCAGTGTGCGAAACCGCAGGCTGTAAACTGGACGAGCAGTTCTGAGAATCAGCACATACTTGTCCAGTGAGCGGTCGAGGTGAATGAGTAAGGGGTGAATGATGCATCGACGGTCTGAGGATGCTGTCAGGAGGGACACAGGCTGCGGTATGAAGATGTGATGTGGGCCCTTTTAGCAGGGGAACTAGAAAGAGGAAAAACGAGTTCTCACGCAAACATGTGTTTTCTAGGGTGCTACCTATGGTGTGTTTACAGAGAGAAAAAATAATAATACTGCATGGCAGACCCTGCTTGTGGCCCAGCCAATAGCCATTCCTGCTTCTGACCTCACTCACGTGGTCCCAGAGGATGACAAGCAAAACCAATTGCAACAACCTCACTGATCAAAACCAGCAGGGCTATCTTGTTCCCCTTACCCATGACTGGTCTAGATCTGGCCAATGACATAGGGAGGAAGTGGGCCAAGGGTGAGAGAGGCCTCGGCAGAGGGCCCTTTCCACCGCTCTCCTTCCTTCTGCTTGAGAAGATGTGATTGCCGGTGCTCTGCAGCCATCTTGGGACCATGAAGAGAGGGTGGCAGAGCAGGAAGAAAGAGCCTGAGTCCTCACTGACACTGCTGAGCTATGAAGCTTAACCACATGTGCCAACCTCTAGACTCCTTCTTATGTGAGATAATGAAGGGATTCCACTGTTAAGCCAGTTTTCGTTGGGTCCTCCATGGCAGGCAAATGCATCCCAACCTACATGACCATGCCGTCTTGTTCTTACTTTGGGGAGTAATTGCAGACGAGGTAGACCGCGTTCTCCCAAACATCTCCCCAGACGTTCATCCTCTGGCAGGTGTTCACAGCACAGCCGACCTTGTTGGTGGTGGCCCATACTATCTGAAAAGATGACATCCCTGTGTCACAGCTCAACAGGCAAGGCACACCAGGGTGACAAAGTCTGGCCTGGATCTACAAGGTGTGGCACTAGAGGGGTATGCGGTGAAGGGGTGAAAGAGCAGATATTTTCCCTTAACCCATTGAAGATACATACATTTCTTAAAAAACAAAAAACCAAAAAAAACCCCAGAAACCCTCCACATACAACAATGAAAATGCTCCACCAAAGTAAATTGCCATAGAAGTTTCTAGTGCTTCCTCTCAGTTTCTAACCACTAACAGCTGGGCCCACTGGCTACACTTTGGGTAGAACCGAATTGAAGAAAAAACATTCAGGCAGTAACAGCACAGAGGTTGAATGGATTCCGCAACGATAGCCCAGGGTGTGTGTGTGTGTGAATGAGTGGTTTGGGGTGCAGGACTGAGGTCACGGCCAGTCCCCCTGGTTACCTGTGTGTAGTGGGTGCACATGGGCCCCGAGCACCTCTCTGGACACCAGGGGTTGCACTCGTGAGGATATGGGTAAGTATAGTCCTTCACCTCGTCATACCAGGACTGCACGTGGGACCCGGGTGAGCGATACCTGCAGAGACAGGAACAGCTTGTCATACCCCAGTCACCGCACACCCACCAGTACAGACCGAAGCTTGAGGCACTGCCACCCCGGGGGCAGGCTAGGGGTGGCGCTGCTTGGGGGGAATAGCCCCTAATTCCACCCAGCACCTGTTAAAAGTGCTTAAAACCAGAAAAGTGAAGAGCACACCTGGGGTCCACCTGTATGCAGGAGACTTTTACCTGGCCCCCAACGAGTTCTTGTTCATGTTAATTATGCATCTATGTTCATGGTCACTGAGGAAACATATGCAGCCCATGAACTGCATATTTCACAGATATTATGGCTTAAGACAAAACTTAAGACATGAGTCCATATAAAGTCGATATAGAGAAAAATATTAAGTAAGCAGTTGAAGAGGTGATATCCACATAGGGCAACGGCCACGGCACAGGAGAGTCTGGAAGTTGAGAAATATCTGGTTATGGGGGACAGAGCAGAGGGGTCCCTGTCACCCCCCCCAAAGAGGAGCCTATAGCCTCATGTTTCTGCAACAGAACTGGCTTCATTCCTCGGCTGCATGGGGTATCCAAGGACTCAGATACAAAGCAGAAAACTCATTCAAGGCACAGAAACCTCCAAGTATTCAGAGCTTTGCACTCAGGTGCAAACATTTTTAAAAACTTATTTAGGATTTTATCATCTGGATCCTCTCCCTCACCCCATCACCCACAAGGAGGTTCCCAGGCACCATCAACATCTCCCAGGGGAGCCACCAGCTGCCCTCTCCCTGGGACGTCCTCCACGAGGTCATCACTTCGTGGCCACTGTCCCCTTGCTTCAGCCCCAACTGCCAGGTTGGCGCCAGTAATTTTTTTAACGAGGAAAAAAAATGGATGCAAATCCACGGTCATGCCATCACCAGCAAGTGTAAACAAAGTGGTTTCAGAAAAGAGAAAAGGCTTGCAGGGGAAAATGAGCATTTGTAAGAGCGATGTGGTCAGCAAGGCAGTTAGAGGTCTTGTAACAATTACTGCTTGGACCCACAGCGAATGGCAGTGGTCAGGGATGTGCCCAGGACATGGCCTCTCTTCTTGGAGCCAGCTCGGGGAAGGACGTGCCCGCAATGAGGGAGCGACAGAGCACAGGGGCACTCGCCGCCATCCACTTCCCATGGACTTAAGGTCACAGGCATGGTCATATGGAAGTGGACCCTCAACCAGGAGCTCTTTTGGAAAGAAAGTTAGCAAAATTCTTTAAGAAGGGGGAAAGTCTCTGTTCCCTGGGACCCATCAGGAGTTATCCTAATGAAATAAATCAAGTGAACCAAAACAAAAAAACAAAATACAAAAACTAAGCTGCAAGAAAGGAATGGCTGCATCTTGGTCTGTCAACTTGAGGCACCATTCGGTGGCCTTTATGAGGTGACAATCATGACACTATATAATAGGAAATTATCTGCTATTGTAGGAGAAGTGGGGGGAAAGAATTAAAAGCTGTCCAGGCTACAGTTACCCGCAGGTAAAACTATGTTGGCATACAGCCGAATGCTACAAAAGAAACCCAGAAAAATGAAGAGCTGAACCACGCTGGTGGAATGGGAGACTTTCCTTCCTTTAGACATTTTCTTTTAATGTTATTATAAGACTGTTTATAAAAAGTGAAATTCACTGAAGAAAAAAACCTCATGACAGTGCTCCTCCACGAAGTCACAGCTGTGGGCCCACCTCACACCTGCCCAGGGCTCTGAAGACACACTGGCCTGAAGGGGAGTGTAGCTGCTCCCAGCCAGATGGAGCTCCATGCCAGGGAATATCTCAGTTTGAAGTGAAAGCAAACCCTCATCTCCATTTTGAGAGTATATTCAAAGCCCATCCAATTTTTTTCATGAACAGGGCAAAATGGAAGCAGATCCCAGGCCCCAGAGTGTGGCTGGGTCTGAGGACATGAATTCAGGACTCTGGGCACTGCATGCCCACCTGCTGGTTAGGTCTTGTTGGTCGTGAGTCGGTATCTTGGCTGTGGTCACAAGACAATTTCTCCACTTCCTCCAATGAATCAGCCCTCAGCCCCTGGGAGGGACTGCCCACCTCTCTGGGTGCATGGATATATGGCCCAAGTTTACTTTGGGAAGGCCAGGTGGCCACACTTAACAGACAACTGTCAACATCTTTTACAGGAAAGAGGACAAAGGTGTTGCCAGACCAAGAAGCCTCGAAGGGTCAGAGGAGTTAGCACACCCCTGATGGCTGGACAAAGGGGGAAGGCGAAGGGCATCTTCCCGACATGGTGGAACCTGGCTCGACCTTAAAGAGGGAACAGAACCCAGACGTGCTGGGGGCCGACAAGACAGTGAAGACACCCACGAAAAGAGCAGACACTCCCATTTCCTAGCTCACCCAACCAAGTCTTCCCCACCATCAGCAGAGCCCTTTAAAGATGGAAAGGGAAATCCAAGCTCTATAAACCTCTCAACCAGTCATCAGTATCTGGGGTCAGCCAATCAGACTCAAATCCATTTTGTCAATCACTTGGAAGTGTTCCTGGGCACTGAGCCTCTGTTTCTTACATGCACATGGGATAGATGCTCTCTCTCTCTCTCTCTCTCTGTGGGCTGAGTTCTATAAAGGACACAGTACCAAGCCCAGCATGTCATAGGTGCTCAGTGGTGACAGCCAGCTCACACGTGGGGGGACCACGGCAGTTCAAGGGGAGCTTGCGGCTCTCACCTGCCCCAGTGGACAGCCAGGTTCTGCCCAATGGACACCAGCAGACTGGTGGGCCCGTGCTCCCAGATGCACTCGTGGGCCCAGGCTGCCGCCGACTTCTCCAGCTCTTCATCCCAGGTCTGCAGAGGGAAGAGAAACGGGCACCACGTCAGGATCAGGAAGGGTGTAAGAACCCCAACTGTAGCGACACCCCCAGGTTGACCTGCAGGCCGGTTTTCAGCCTCTATAATGCTGGGTTCCTATATTAGCAAGTTGGACATGGCAAGTCAGGGAAGGACCAGAGGTGCCTGGCTCCAAGGCCATTCTCAGAGCTCTGGCTCAGCGTCTAACTTGCCAACAACCCTGGCAAGTCCCTTCTCTCTGGGCCTCAGCATCTGTAAGATGGGGCGGCAATGCCGAAGGCTCACAAAGCATAGCACCGCCCACCGTATGGAAGGGAAGGTGAGTGTCAGCAGAGGTGTCTTCGGGAGGCTTGTCCTGATGATCGTGACTTCCTTTCGTTAAACGTGTACCAGGTGCAGCAGGCCTCGGACTTTATCAGAATGCTTCCATTGCATCTAACCATGGGCCTCTGAGGTAGACATTCTTATTCCCATTTTACAGAAAATCGAGGCTTAGAGGTGCAACATCATTTGCCCAGGGTCCCATGGCCAGTTTCAGAACCAGGCTTTGAACCCAGATCTGAAGAAACCTGGAGCCTGAGCTCTCTCTACGAGCACTGTTCTTTGTCAGCCACAGCAGATAGTGTGATGCTGTTCCTAGGCCTGGGGACAGAAATCACAAACGATCGTGTGGCATGGGGTGTGGTTCAGAATGGCCGTGTGAACCTGTGCACGTATTCACCCTCTGAGCCCGTTTCCTCTGCTGTAACACGGGCGTGGTGATGCCCTCACCATGAGTATTCCTTGGGGAGATGAAGCCTGCCAGGGGCCCAGCCAGGGCCTGGATTTGGTCGGTGAGAGCCTCGTCCATGCCAGCCACTCTCGGGCAGGGGAAGAAAAGTGGTCAAGGCGCCTGCGGGGTGTTTGAGATCCTCACTGGCCTCCCGCAGGAGAATCCAGCAACAAAAGTGACCAGATGCCTGGGTACCAGGCTTCGGTGTGGGATGATGACACAGATCAGGAGGTGGACGGTGGTGACAGTTAAACAACAGCGTGAATGTGATTAATGCCACTGGACTTAAAATGGTTAAGATGGTAAATTTAACGGTATGTATATTTTACCACCTGCTCACCTCCCAGCACGGCCCATCCTGAATCAGGGGGCTTTGGGCAGGGGTCTGGGCCAAAGAATTGGAAGACAGGCTCTGCAGCCTGGCCTGCCTCCCAGCTGGCCCGGGGAGCACAAGTAACTCCTCAGGAAAGGCCATCAGGAACAAAGCAGGCGGGTGGCTTCTGTGGAGGAGCAGATGCCGGGCGGCCCTCGGCTTGCTGCCAGCCAGCTGCTGCTGCGGGGCCTCCCTGCAGTCCTCCGACACCTGCTGCAGTGCTGGGGAGACAGGGGCTGTCCCCTCGCTCTGGGCATCCCCAGCCCCTGGCACACAGTAGGTGCTCATGCAAAACTGTCCTGGCAGAACCCAGGACATGTTAAATCAACTAGGGAAGCCCCCAGTGTGGAATATCATGACACTGCCAACACAGCGGTACGCCTTGCCTCCCTCCCTCCCCCATCCTGCCAAGACTCCTCCACATCCAGGCGCAAGTCCTGCCCCAGGGCAGATGCCTCTGGTGCCTTGGCCACACTCCTGGACACACTCCCATTTCAGCAGCAGTGGACATTACATTCTGGGTATGCTCAGACTCATCTCTTGACGACAGTGCCCCACCTTCAGTGCCCACCAAGCCCAGAGCCACTTTCCGCCTCAGATCTTCCTCCAATACTGTGAGAGACCCCCCACTCCCCAGCTGTGCTCATGCACAGCCTGACATGGGGACGTTAGGCCCCCGGGGTGACACTTGGTCAATGGGGAACAGTCCTGTGGATAAATGCAGCCACCTCCTGCCTTCGGGAGGGAGGTCCAATTTCTACACTATTTCCTCTGCAGATTCTGGCAGAGCTAAGCCCCTGCTCCCACCGCGCCACCCCCATAGAGCACCCTGATGTTGAACTCACTCTTCCTGTCTTCTGGACTCATGGGTCCCCCTCCCCAATAAACCACCTGCAGCCAAGTCCTGTCTGGGACTCTGCTCTGGGGGAGTCCACACTATGCTGCCCCCTCTCAGAGCCCAGTCAGGGCGCGGCTCCTGCTCTGCCACACCCAGCTCAGCACGTCGTCGCTTGGCTCTGCTGTGCCTCAGCTTCCTTCTCTGCAGAACAGAGCTGATCTGTTGTCCCCCAGGGTGTGCCTAGGATGAAATGAAGGAACGCCCAGAGAGACCGATGGCTGCCATCAGTGCTCTGAAATGGGTTTCCTCACACTCAGCCAGATCCAGCCTTTTTGCACTTCTGTCTCCAAAGACCTTCACTTCACCTGAGAGGATCAGCCCACTTAGGGCACTGATGAGACCCAGAGTCAAGGGTAGAGGGTGTTCACGGGGCCTCCTGTCTGTGGCCAGCACCCTGAAGGGTGTTCTCTGTTCTCTTGGCAGCCCTGTGAAGATGACACAGCCCTCAGAACTTACAGTTGGGGAGACTGAGGCTCAGGGAGGCAGATGGTGACTGCATCTCCAAGCAGGAGAACACCCAGTGCTCCATGAAGGACAGACACCGTCCACCTGGAGGGGTGGGCAGTGGGGGTGGGCAGCAGCTTGCACACACAGCAAGATCCTTCTAGAAATGGCCAGCTAAGGCTCTTCCCACACAGTGTTAAATATTTTGACTTGTTTTTGGTATCAGGGTGATGTTTGCTTCATAGAATGAGTTTGGGAGAAGTGCCTCTGTTTCAATCTTTTGGAATAGTTTGTAGAGAATTCCTCTTTGAAGGTTTGGTAGAATTCTACAGAGGACACAAGAAGATGGAAAGATATCCCATGCTCTTGGATTGGAAGAATCAACATTGTGAAAATGTCCATACTACCCAAAGTGATATACAAATTCAATGCAATCCCCATCAAAATTCCAATGACATTTTTCTCAGAAACGGAAAGAACTATCCAGACATTTATATGGAATAACAAAAGACCAGACATAGCCAAAGCAATTCTGAGCAATAATAATAATAATAATAAAGCTGGAGGCATAACACTACCTGACTTTAAACTATACTACAAAGCTATAATAACCCAAACAGCATGGTACTGGCATAAAAACAGACACATGGATCAATGGAATAGAATAGAGAATCCAGAAATCATCCTGCACACCTACAGCTATCTGATCTTTGACAAAGGCACCAAGTCTATACACCGGGGAAGAGATTGCCTCTTCAGCAAATGGTGCTGGGATAACTGGATATCCATATGCAGGAGAATGAAACTAGACCCATAACTCTCACCATCTACCAAAATCAACTCAAAATAGATTAAAGAATTAAATATACACCCTGAAACAATTAAACTTCTTAAAGAAAACATAGGGAAAACACTCCAGGAAGTAGGACTGAGCACCATGAATACAACCCCCAAACCACAGGCAACCAAAGGTAAATAAACAGATGGGATTATATCAAACTAAAAGGCTTCTGCACAGCAAAAGAAACAATTAACGGAGTTAAAAGACAACCAACAGAATGGGAGAAAATATTTGCAAAATATACATCTGACAAAGGATTAACATCCAGAATATACAAGGAACTCAAACAACTTTACAGAAAAAAACCAAGGAACCCAATTAAAAAATGGGCAAAGGAGCTGAATAGGCATTTCTCAAAGGAAGACATATGAATGGCCACCAGACACATGAAAAAATGCTCAACACCACTCAGAATTCGGGAAATGCAAATCAAAACCACACTGAGATACCATCTCACTCCAGTTAGGATGGCTAATATCCAAAAGACTGTGAATGATAATTGCTGGTGAGGTTGCTGGTGAGAAAAAGGAACTGTCATACATTGTTGGTGGGACTGCAAAATGGTGCAGGCTCTACAGAAAATGGTATGGAGGTTCCTCAAACAATTGCAGATAGATCTACCATATGACCCAGCTATCCCACTGCTGGGAATATACCCAGAGGAATGGAAATCATCAAGTCGAAGGAATACCTGTTCCCCTATGTTCATTGCAGCACTCATTACAATAGGTAAGAGTTGGAACCAGCCCAAATGTCCATCATCGGATGAGTGGATACGGAAACTGTGGTACATCTACACAATGGAATACTACTCAGCTATAAACTACACAATGGAATACTACTCTGCTATAAAAAAGAATGAAATACTGCCATTTGCAACAACATGGATGGACCCAGAGAAAATTATATTAAACAAAACAAGTCAGGCACAGAAAGAGAAATATCACATGTTCTCACTTATTTGTGGGAGCTAAAAATAAATAATTAAACACACAAACAAATGGTGGGGGGAAGGAAGAAGACACAACAATCACAATTCCTTGAAGTTGTTAAGACAAGCGAACAGATATGAGGTTGATGGGAGGGAGGGGGGAGAGTGAGGGGGAGGGAGGATTTGGTAATGGGCCACAAAAATCAACCATGTTGGACATTGATAAAATAAAATAAAATATATATATATATTTTTATATATATATAAAAATATATATATATATAAATAACGCACGCAGGAATGAGACCCAGTTCACCAGGCTCACCCGGCTGTCACTGACTCCTCCAGCCCCTCCTGGCCCTAATCTCCCACTCAGCCTTTGCTTTCCCACCTGAAGACACTGGTCCACCTCATTCTACAGCAAGGGCACAGGGGACATTCTTCACCCCTCAAAGGGATGACTCGGGGAGTGAGAAGAAAGAGCACAGGACAGTGAGGGCTACTGGTAAGAGAGTTTGCACCAGCTGTACCTGGGTGGGCTTGGCCCCTTGCTCACTGTGTTACTTTGGGCAAGTGGCCTCACCTCTCTGTGCCTCAGTTTGCTCATCTCTAAATGTGTTAATGATACCTATTGGAATAGCATTGGGGGGAGGTTAAATGAGAGCAAGCATCAAGCCCCCAGGTGAGGGACAAAGTAGTCCTCAGTAAACAGGACCCTGATATCAAGGAAGTTCATTT